CTTTCTGTTTGGTTTAAGCTACCTACTTGGGCAATAAAGTCACCTGCTATGAGTACTATATCTGAACGTTTAGCTTTTTGAAGAAGTTCAGAAAGCATTCTGTAAAAGTCATCTTTCATTTCATTCGGGCTGTGAAGTCTATGTAGACAACATCCACTGATTTTCCATTGTCTAGAACCTTGATCCATTGCTCCCTTGCTACAGGAAAATGTGTTGTGCACGATAAACATTTTCCGGAGCCATTTTGTTCGCTGTTTAACAAGTTGTTGGTTTCTACAAATGTCATTATGGTCTTTTTGGCTATTGTTCCCAGTATTTTAACTACGACATACTTTGGTCAAGCGGCATATTGAATATCACAGTCGGTAGGACTGCAATATACTGTGCAATATTTCTCAGGATTTTGGGGTGTAGTTCATCCGGTCCTGTTGACTCAACCGTATCTAAAGTGCTAAGAGCCTTAAGTACATCGTCTCAACCAAAGTGAACGGTGAGCAGACCGTTTGTTGACTTTCTATGTTGGTCTAGATCTTCGTCTAGAAGAGGTTCCTGAGTGAAAACTGCCCCAAACTAGTTTGCCATAGTCTCTGCTTTTTCCTAATCGTCCTCTATCGTTCCAGATCCACTCCCTTCCTTAGTTAGGTTGGCAATCCAATGCTGCATCCTTGTTCTGTAATTTATGTACGGGAACAGTCTCTTAAACTGCTTGATTGCAGATTGTGTCAACTGCATTTCATATTTTCCTAGAGCTCCTCTGATTTTAATTACACACTTATTTCATACCGACCTGTAGCGTTCCATAGTCCTTGCTGTGCCAAGGCTAATGGCAATGTTCCAGCATTTCTTCTGAATTCTTCATGTGTTTTATTTTCTTTCCAAATTTATTCCACTGGATTATACTCCTTGAATAACATCAAACCCTAATGTTCCTTATCACTACTTATACTTTCGCTACCTTTACCATTATGGGATTTGAATTGATAACTGCATCTCTGTGCTAATGTGGTATGGCAACTCGAACTGATGTACGTACGTACGAAGTTCCACGTTGTTACTGACTGACTGAAATCAAAAATAGATTTCGCTACTGTTTCCACAGTTGTTTGTACATCTTTTCAAGCAACATCTGGGTCAGCCTCGTTTTCAGAACTACCTAAGTGTGACCTCAGTTGTTCCTGGAACCTACTTTTGGCTGTCTCATTACTCAATTCGGTTCTGATGAGTCTTTTGTGTGGCTCTTTTGCGTCCAGTGAGGCGCAAGCAGATGCGTGCTCGTATTAGGGCATAGTCGGAGTCCAAGCAGGTGCTCCAGAATGAGCGACAATCTTCTATTGACCCTCTCCAACGATGACTGATAGCAATATGGTCTGTTTGAGTCCATCGTTGGTTTGGTGCAGGGCATCGTCATGTAAAACGATATCTCTCCCTATGCTAAAATTAGTGTTTGCTAAAAACAAACGACTGTCTGAGCGCAATCGCAGCAGACGATCACCATTATCTGTTCGCTGAGCCGGGATACTAAAATACCCACCTAAATGTCTTTCTGTTTGGTTTAAGCTACCTACTTGGGCAATAAAGTCACCTGCTATGAGTACTATATCTGAACGTTTAGCTTTTTGAAGATGTTCAGAAAGCATTCTGTAAAAGTCATCTTTCATTTCATTCGGGCTGTGAAGTCTATGTAGACAACATCCACTGATTTTCCATTGTCTAGAACCTTGATCCATTGCTCCCTTGCTACAGGAAAATGTGTTGTGCACGATAAACATTTTCCGGAGCCATTTTGTTCGCTGTTTAACAAGTTGTTGGTTTCTACAAGTGTCATTATGGTCTTTTTGGCTATTGTTCCCAGTATTTTAACTACGACATACTTTGATCAAGCGGGATATTGAATATCACAGTCGGTAGGACTGCAATATACTGTGCAATATTTCTCAGGATTTTGGGGTGTAGTTCATCCGGTCCTGTTGACTCAACCGTATCTAAAGTGCTAAGAGCCTTAAGTACATCGTCTCAACCAAAGTGAACGGTGAGCAGACCGTTTGTTGACTTTCTATGTTGGTCTAGATCTTCGTCTAGAAGAGGTTCCTGAGTGAAAACTGCCCCAAACTAGTTTGCCATAGTCTCTGCTTTTTCCTAATCGTCCTTTTTCGTTCCAGATCCACTCCCTTCCTTAGTTAGGTTGGCAATCCAATGCTGCATCCTTGTTCTGTAATTTATGTACGGGAACAGTCTCTTAAACTGCTTGATTGCAGATTGTGTCAACTGCATTTCATATTTTCCTAGAGCTCCTCTGATTTTAATTACACACTTATTTCATACCGACCTGTAGCGTTCCATAGTCCTTGCTGTGCCAAGGCTAATGGCAATGTTCCAGCATTTCTTCTTTTGTCGTAGTGAACTTCGAATATCCCGGTCTATCCAGTGATGGCCGCGCTTCTTGTTCTATGTGACTGTCCAGGGTATATTATTTGTTTATTTGAACGTATAAATATTGGTACAAGAAGGCACCAAATATACATGCACCACACAAAATTTTATTTGTGTGTGGGCTGTGATCCTGCCCGGGTGACCAAACCGAAGCAGGTGGTTTTCTTAGGGGGCCACACCCCGAGCCCTTGACCTAAAGTTCTGACCCATAAGGCAGTGGAGCATCGTGAGGAGGTGTAGTCCCATGGTGACCGGTGTCCGACGATTGTTTCATACGCCATTTTTCCCCTCAGGATACTGGAGCCTATGTGCACCATTGATTTGGGATCCGGTTAAAGCCGGTGCCGGACATTCGCTTTTTTTCTCTCATTTTCTCAAACAACACCCGTGGTTAGAGAAGGCTGTGAGTAGGACTTCCTTGGCAGAGGCTGTTTACTACTAATTCTCTTAGTATTTCTATTGATATATTTATTTATTTATTTATTTTAACACATAAGTACAGGTACAGGAAGGCACCAAATACATATGCGCCACACAAATCTCAATTGATTTGTGTGAGGGCTGTGATACTGCTCGGGTGCCCAAACCGAAGCAGGTGGTTTTCTTAGGGGGCCACACCCCGAGCCCTTGACCTAAAGTTCTGACCCATAAGGCAGTGGAGCATCGTGAGGAGGTGTAGTCCCATGGTGACCGGTGACCGACGATTGTTTCATACGCCATTTTTCCCCTCAGGATACTGGAGCCCATGTGCACCATTGATTTGGGATCCGGTTAAAGCCGGTGCCGGCCATTCCCTTTTCGTCCTCTCACTTTCGTAAACAACATCCATGGTGCGAGAGGGCAGTGAGTAGGACTTCCTTGGCAGAGGCTGTATTCGCGTGGCCATGTGAGGGAATTTCGAGAGGGAGAGCGGACTCTCCCCATTCTCGACTATACCAGGGCATTTGGGGGCATATACGGTCGAGTTGTCCGATTGTATAACTGCCTGTAATGAGTCCATGCCTCTTTAACTGATGACCATTAGTCAATTATCCAGTTTTCAGCCTATGCCTCAGAATTTAGCGCCTCCATGTCTGCTTTCCATATGTTCGGACGGGCCGGCGCAACTGTTTGACAGGCCATCTCAGCCATCATTTCTCCATAAGAGTGGTATGAAAGTAATTTGACCGACATCGCCGTGTGTAAATATTAAGTTCAAGAGAGACGAGAAGCTTCGCAAGTCATATCTAGTGGAACTTCAATATGCTGTAAAAAATGAGTGCAATCGTGGTTTCTAACAGTTTTTAATCAAATGATGTTGTTGATGAACCTACTTCTATGTTAGCTTTGCAGGTACTAACGAAAATTACACTGACTGTTGTTTGTTGATCAACGGTATTATTACCTCAATTGTTTGAACATTTATTTTTTTCTTTAATCAAATTTCTGAGATTATTGAGTTCTGCTTTTACAAGTGACTTAATTTGTTCTTTGAAGCTTCTTATTGTTTAAACTGTCGATGAAGTCTTTACAAAATGTTTATAACATATCGTGAGCACTTGACGTTTCAATTAAAGCCAATAAGAGTTGCTCTTCATTTCGGCCGACAGCTTCTGGTAAGCCTCTTGATTTTAAGTTTTATTGGGTTTTCAATATGTTTATCATTTTTCATTCAGGAATTCGAATCGATTTTGATAACTAGACTATGTGTGAAATTTCCATGATTGAGAAATAATGATCTGAAGTGTTTTTTATTTGTATACATAAAGCAGTTCCAGAAGCTCTGTCACCACCGGAAGGCTAAATTATGGTTGATAACTAGTAATTCGGCTCAAAATTATCTGTACTCCTTTTACTTAGTTGTGCTGAGCGGTTCAAATTTATTTGACGAACTGAGTTTTTCGAGACTTGGACCAACTGGTTATTAAAAATCTAGAACAAAAGAACATGCCTTTTTATCGAGAGATATTTTCGACAACCATGATCCCGAAATTGTTCAACAAAATATCTGTCGAAATAAAATATATTCAATTTATGTTGGTAGAACCATGCTTTATTTCGAGAAATATAGTTAGTTTAAACTCAGCAGTATTTCCCCACCCTTTGTGTATAGAGATTGTGCAAGTGTTAGCGTGACTAATTAAAAGAGCGGTTATTTTTGGGAAAACAACCAATTTATTTAAACTGAGATCTCTCAACGGGATTTGATTGCATTGCAAACCACATGTAACTTCTCGTTCATATTTCGGTTGAATGTTGAAGTACATTGCTGATGATATGATAACTCAACGTCTTACCATAAGTATTTGGCTTACGTTTTACTAACATGATGTTATAAATTCTCTCCATTCTTTGATTCCATCTCACTTGTATGGTTGGGTTGTTCAAAACCAAGGTGGAAATAATATCCACTTTTTGATGAATTCTAGTGATTTTAAAGCTAATCTCATCTTACTTTGTAAAAGCTAAATCTCTGAAAGCCATACGATTGAAGTCAGACATATTTTATGACGCGTTATTTTATTTAAAGTCGTTTGATCAAATTATACCCCTAGAAAAGCAAATTATAATGTATTATATTTTGTAGTGGAATGGAGGAACTCAAAAAACCAGATGATGATGCCAAAGTTGTCATAGATAAATCAAGTAATGTAAAAATGAAGCGATCTATTGGTGTTGGAACCAGTATCACCATCATAGTAGGATCAATGATCGGCTCAGGAATATTTGTCAGTCCTACTGGTATTTTGCTGAATGTTAGAAGTATAGGAGCTAGTCTAATTATATGGGTTGCATGTGGGATCTTCAGTATGCTTGGAGCGTACTGTTATGCAGAGCTTGGCACAATAATAGAGCGATCCGGAGGGGATTATATTTATGTGTATGAAGCATTTGGTTCATTTATTGGATTTTTGCGTTTATGGGTGGAAGTAATGGTTGTAAGACCTGCAACTATCGCTATTGTGGCATTAACATTTGGGGAGTATGTTTTTGTACCTTTGTATCCAGACTGTCCACTGCCCTTTACGCTGGTCAGGATTTCGGCGGTTTTATGTATAAGTATGTTCAAAAGCATTTACGTACGGCGCTGTTTCCATTTTATTAATTAGGATGTGCTCAAATATATACTCAACCAATATTAACTGTTATGCACTCTAATGGATAAAATGCGCTGTTTGTATTTTTGATAAGCGAAGAATGAAGTCAGTTGTTAAGATGAAGAAACTCGACATATGTCCACATAAAATGCAGTTTTATAACATAAAAAGTGTCAAAATGTGAATCAACGAGATATGAATCAGAAAGTGAAAAACTGACGACAGTTAAATTATGAGATGTGAGTGAATAAAGAAAAAATGAGAAGTGATAATTTCTCGTGACTGTGTGCCTTCAATCATAAGTTATGCTTTTGATAGATTTGTAAAATGACAAAACTCTAATCATAATTAATCCCAGATGAATTGAAATGTATCACATCAGCAAACACTTTGTTTCTTTTGACACTTGAAATACTTTGATTATTTGGTTTGTAGTTTTCATTACTTCTGGCAGTTATCAATCTGTAACTTCACTGAACTGTTTGGAATCAATAATATATTCTACTTATTGTTTACATAATAAATGGTTCGTTTATTATCTAATTAGTTGTAAATTGAAAGTATCAAATGAATCGATACGTGATAAATTAATTTGATGATAAGATACTGGGAGAAGTTCACTTAGAAGAATGTTATTTAGTTTTTTCAAGGGTTGAGATCATGAGTCACTTGAGCTAGACCACCATGGAAAACCCGAAAGCATTGAACGGCCGTTTCGTATTAGTATGTGACTTCTCAGAAGTGCGCATCCACGTACCCGTTTCGCGGGATTCGACCCCAAGACCAATCGGTCTGGAGCGCGAGCGCTTAACCACCAGACCACTGAACTGGCCGCCATCGAACAGTGTTAATTTCTAACTTCAACCAATCCACGAATTCGAGCGATGCATCCACCATTGTTTTCAGTGTTATACTACCTCACAATAGTTTTTTCTTTCACTATTACCGATGATTTGTCATCTGAAAATGTTTAAAACGATCACATTGATGATATCTTAGTGAAAATCTCCCAAATTTTTGTCATCTTGTTTCATTTTGCTTAGCATTTTTAAGCTTCGCCAATTCGTTTTCCATCAAATTTTCAACCAGAATTCAAGATATATTTACACTTGCGAAACTTGCCGCTCTTATAATGATCATAGTAACTGGATTCGTAGAGTCTGGAATAGGTAATTTATTAATATTTTTCTTTAAAATTATGATGATTACTTTTTTTATCCATAATAACTATAGTCGGTTTTGCTATGTGATTTTTGTTGAACTATGAGTGGTTTAATCTTGAGATGAAGATTTTATTAGTGTGCAACATTCAGGAGTTTCTCATTTCATACGAAGTGGTTGTTTAATACAAATAAAATGGCAAAATGTGTATTAAGTTAGTCTAACATAAAAATGATCTTTTCTTTGCAGAATTGTAAGTTTTGTATAAAAGTTTTCCATGAACAAAACTGTACGACTGTATGTGATATAAGCCAATTTGGTGAATCTTAAAGTTCGCAACAGTTGTCATCAAGCTTGGGAAAAATAATCTTCCCTGTCTTTTCTTAAGAATACACATAATCAATTGATTGATTGTATATGTATTACATTAAACGTTGTTTTAAAGCAACAACCTTTGAACATTTCATTTCTGTTATCGCTTTTTGATTAGATGACTTTTCTAATAACCTGTCAGACGAATTTTATTTTTTCGAATATTTCGATATGAATAGAGTGATTCTTCAATAAATTGTGAATCAGCAAAATAATCCTTCTTTGTACTTAAGTTTGTTACCCGTCGTGGAGCGTAGGCCACCGACTGGAATTCTCCGACCACTTCTGTCCTGTGTTTCCTTTCCAGGTGCTTCCGATTGCTTTTAGTATTACACTGTGAATTATCGCCTCTAAGCAGCCGACCAGGATCTATAATCTCTATGTATTTGTGATTTTAATCACTGGTGATGATAAATTTATTTATTTAGTGAATCCATTTAGGTATCTCGCAGTGTACTTTTTTGCTTAACTTCTTTTAGGTCGTTATGAAGAGCTGAAAGAAACTTTTGTCGATTCAAACTGGAGTCCTGGTAAAATAGCTAATGCATTTTACAGTGGTTTATTTGCTTATTCTGGCTGGACTAACCTAAATTGCATGGTTGAAGAAATGAAAAATCCCAGAAAACATTTGTCTATAGCAATTAGGTTATCTTGCTTACTAGTGACTCTAGTTTACACAGCTGTTAATGTGGCCTATGTGACAGTCGTACCGGTTGCAGAGATGCTGACTACAAGAGCTGTGGCTGTGGTAGGTGGAATAGTATTTTCACTGATGTATTGATGCTTTCAATCAATTTTTCTATAAACCGAGAATATTATTAATGTATTTTCAACGTTCCAAGAATTTATTGTATAAATGTAAGTAGTTACTTATTTCAAATCCTCAGAATTAGTATTAATTTGTTAAATGGTAAGAACAGATCTGTAGTTACGTTGTACTCGAACAAGGTGTCTGAATGAAATATTTCCCAAATCAATTTATATATATATATATATATATATATATATATATATATATATATATATATATATATATGTATATTACATGAGTTCTATGTAGTGCGTTACTTCTGTGAAAAATATCCCTGCTGTGTTTAGGTTCGTAAATGATATATGTTACACCGTAAACCAAAAATTTCCCACAAATATTTCATGAAAGAATCGTTGAGATCATGAGTCAATTGAAGCTAGACCACCATTTAAAACCTGGAAACACTGGACGGCCGTTTCTTCCTATTGTGAGACTCCTCAGGAAATTAAAATTCATTTAGTTAAGATCAGTCTTTATCCAGTTCCCTCAATAGACACCCAAAATTATCTCGTTTTGAATAGTGTTAAACTGTTTCCAAAATATTCCATCGTTATGAAGAACATTACTGAATAATTTGGATTTACTTTTATCCGTTTACTTACAAAAACAGACATTTGCTAATAGAATATACGGAATGTTTTGGTGGATTATGCCAATATTTGTTGCTTGTTCAACGTTTGGTAGTGCCAACGGAACTATATTAACTACATCGAGAATATTTGTTGTCGCTAGTCAGCTTAAACAAATGCCAGCGTTTATCAGTTACTTGCACACGGATCGATTAACACCTATTCCGGCTGTTCTGTTCACTGTGAGTTCCTTGTATAACACTACTTTCGTCGAATATACATAGATATTAAAAGGTATTTCGATCATTACAAATCAGTTAGTTTGTCTTAAAAGTTAACTTTTGATGTCTATTTCGGAACAATGTCAAATATGTTTAAACTGGTTGTGGGATGACATTTAATGATAGTAAGTTTGAAATTGTAATTGGATTGTGGGTCACTTTGACAATGATGGCTTTTTAGTATTGAAATACACCAAGACCAATGATTTTCATTCTACAGTTACAAAGAAAACTACGAATGAAAACATGGTTTAGACAAAGTTTAGTCGGTGAAGTTGAAATACACATTTGGAAAGAGACATGAAACCGTTGAAAATCAACTTCAAATCTACATAATACATTGCCCGACATTATTATTTTTAACCATGAAATTGTGAATAGGTTTAGACTTTTCAGTTGATGAGATGCTTTGAAATGAAATAACGAAATCGTTTTACACTTTAAATCTTATTGTTCCCGATCTGTCCGAAATTCAATTCAGTTATTATTAGTGACTTCATTGAATATTATGTTTTTGGTACAATGTGGAAATCTCAGCACAAATTATTTTAATGAGTTTTCTTTACTTATTTCCTGATTGTCCCTTACGATAAATATTGAGTTGTAGCCAGTTATATGTTAACAGTTCAGGACTCGACATGTGAACAATCTATATTCTTTTCGATGCATATTGCTAGCAACCGCGATGCCTCTGATTGGGTTCTTTTTTAACTTGCACAGTGAAATGTCGTAAACTTTTGACAAACGTGCCTGAATAGGTTATGCGACTAATAGGCATAACGATGTGTTGCGACAAACAAGAAAACAAATAATTTGTTGAAATATCCAGATGTCAGGAACAGGTAGCTCAGATATTCAAACAGGCCACGCAGTTGATTATCATTATAAATTGTGATTTACATGAATTCACTGCTTATTTTTAATTTTTGTTAATTACTCTTCTAGTGTATCGTATCAATAATTTACTTACTTGTTGGAGATATTTTCACACTTATGAATTATTTGGGTTTTGTTCAGTGGTTGGCAATTGGTCTTTGTGTTCTGATTGTAGTAATTTTCCGATTTACTCGTCGTAATATTCAACGTCCGGTTAAGGTAAATTAAAATTTTTGAAACAGTTTTGTGGTATTATTCCTTAAGATACCATGATTATAATGAGAGAGTGGTTTTTGTGAAGATTGTAGTAATTTAATAGTTGAATTGATGAGTCAATTGAGCTAGACCACGGTAGAGGTGGCACAATATCTTGGATTGGTTGGATTTAGACATTAACACCGTCGGATGCCGGCCGACTGAGTGGTCTACAGGTTAAGCGTTCGCGCTCGAGACTGATAGGTGCTGGGTTCGAATCCCGCGGGGTAGGATCGTAGATGTGCATTACTGAGGAGGTCGCGTACTTGGACAAAATGGCCATCTAGTGTTTCTAGGTTTTTCATGGTGGTCTGGCTTCAATTGTGACTCATGAATTCAGTTGATAAATTATTACATGATATCATCGAATTGTTATGAATCATGACTAGTTCTAGTCAACTTTTCTTTTCGACAACTTTAGTAAATTGTACAATGTCAGCATTAAGTGATGATGTTAGCCTTTGCGTCTATTTTACCACTTCATCATTACTTTTTCTATCCAACCATTAGTATTCTGTTGGAAGATTCGTTGTGTACGATGTTGAAATTAGACATTTGTTTTATGAACTGACATAAAATTAGAAAAATTTGAAGTAAACCTTGAAAATCGTTTTAAACTAATGCAGTGATCCTTTCTACTGCAGATATAGTGAACGGGAACACAAGTGGAGTCAATCGAACGTAATTTAATGCAACATTACAGAAAATCTTAGTAAAATCTGAGAACCATACACTAAATACTTCATCTGCAAAATGACAATCAATCGTCACAGACTTCATGGTTCCTGCATTTCTTTACGAGTTTCTTTCTGTTCTCGTCCTCTCCTCCTCGATCTTCACGACCTTCAGCTGCCAGACATTGTATTCCCGACTTGAGTTATATACTACTTATGTCGATATACGTAGCACCATTACTAATAATACTGCTGTATTATAATATTTTAATTTTTTCATTATTTTTATTTATTACAGGCTCCTATAATATTTGCCATTATCTACTTAGTAGTTACTGCATCTCTCCTAATTTTCTCGTTTTATGGCTCACCTCGAGAATCATGTAGGTCATTTGTTATAAATTATGTTCAATACATTCGTATATTTACTTTCTAAATGTAGGAATAACAGTTCGTTATAATGTTTATTCATCAATGTGGAGGTTGGATTGGAAACAGCCAACTAAGCAGCCACAATCTCATAAGTGACTACCTTCGAGTTGGTTGGTTGGTTGTTAAGTTTTGAGCTACTGAGTCGAAATGGCGAGAGACGAGATGATAACTTATCGATTACATTCAAGTAGAATCGTGGTATTTAGCTAGCAAATACTAGTCTTAGTAGGATAGCTGAACTAAAGTTTTGCTATTCAGTGGTATATAAACCGAAGTTCCTACACAAGACCAAAATATCGCATCTATTCGATGTTATAGGTTGTTGTAGCCCTTCATCGATGAGATAGTTAGAACTAAGAAAGATCTATTTCAGTTTTCCTATGGTTCTTCTTGTCGTTTATTGATAGGTCACTTCATGACTTAAATCATGATCGAAATTGAAGTTTTACGGAAAACTACTTAATCTGTATCACTGAAAGATGAAGTAATCTTCTCATTATTTTAGTTAAATGGAACTGATTGCAGGAATGGTTTATTTTCCTAGTATAACAATGATTACATCTCTCTAGTGAATTTTCGATTGTTTTATCCCTTTATAGTATATGGTATTTTGATCATTTTAACTGGTATACCGGTTTATATACTCGGTTGTGCATGGAGTCCTAAACCGAAATCATTCCAGGAAAAAATGAGTAAGTATTTTTGTCAAGTCACATTTCATATCCCATAATTTAAATATTTTCAGACGCGTTCGGTGTAACTGACTTATCAGTTATTGGTTTATGTAGTCAACTCCGAGTTACATACTTGTCTTATCTGAGGGCAAGAGACACTGCGTGGTTTCCCAAACTGAAATAAGTGTAACGAGGTTTGCATATGCAATCTGTTTGTTGGAACGCATATGTTTTAGCCAGTTAACCATCAATCCGGATTCGTAATCTTATACACCCATATAAATGTTTGATTTAATTAAATTGGACAACACTTAGTCAACTTGCCTACAATCACTTCGATGCCATGAACATTTGAGTTAAAATGAAAAAAAACTATGAGGCTTGATTTACGTATAACCTTTGAATAATTCAGTCTTCTTATTAGATCTCCAAATCCAAGTATTGATTTCTAATAATTGTTGTTATTACAGGTATGAAAACCAACATTTTCTGTGTCAACTTCTAATACACATGCTTAATAAGCTCTAGTCCCTAACTATTCGACTTCCATTTTCTTTATTGTGAAAATGTTTTTCAATTGTTAATAAACTAAAAAGGGGCTTTTTCTCAAGTCAAATGATAATATTCGTTCTTTAAATGAATGACACATGATGTTTCTTATTAGGTCATCCATCGGTCAAGAGATTGGCAATAACAATAAAAATAAAATTGGTCAGAACAGTGATAAATACAGTTAGGACAATAGGTTTCAATAAAATAATCCAATAGTAAAATGATATGTCAGAAGGGGTTTTGTGGATATTACAGTATTTTCAATAGATGAGATCATGAGTGATGAGACCGATGGGTCCTGGGTTACCAATCTCGCGATGCGGAGTCATTGATGCGCACTGCTGAGGGGTCCCACAATATGGCGAAACGGCCGTCCAGAATTTCCAGGTTTTCCATGGTGGTCTAGCTTCAATTGACTAATACTCCCATACCACGTTGGTATTCTAGGAGTTCCATTACGTTCTGATTGGACGGGACAGTTTGTCACGTCCTGAGCCTTTGGAGGCTCCGTCGTAGTTCTCGGAAGACGTCCCAACAAAATCTTCATATAACTTCCATTGATCTAAACAAGTTAATGTGTAATTGACCTGATAAAAATTCTCATATGAGATAAAATCAATTCAAAGTTGTTGAAATGATTCGATGATGATTGAACTAAACAAACTTCCTTACGATTAGCCAAATTCAACAACATCATCGAATGAGTTGTAGATTTTGTTGATATTCTCCTTCTTCTTTGTTTGTTTGTTTGTTTTTATTTTCAATCTTTTGTTTGTTTTTTCAGTAAACATCACGATTGGATTACAAAAACTTTTCCGTATTGTACCATCCAGTTGAAGATAAAAGATGAAGCATAGACTTATTGTGTATTGTTGGTAAACAGTCATTTTGTTGTGCTACACTAACACTTATTGTATAAAGTCACCGTATGCAAAAAGATCGTGTAGCCTATTCATCCATCTAGAGCTTTCTGTTGTTGATTAAATGCGATAAACGTTGATTTCCGATGTTCGGTTGCTTCTTTCTGACGGCAATATTTTTCTCTTGTACATTTTGTCTAATTTGTGATTGAATTTTCTTTCTGATCATTCTATTCACTTTATTTTTTTCATTTGAATTTTTATATTTTCGAGATTATTTTCCTAAACTTTTCTTGTGAATCGACGGATTACGTGTAATGGAGAGTTTTGGGCATTGCTAATTGACTACACAACTTACTTGCTTACTTACGCCTGTTACTCCCAATGGAGCACATAGGCTGCCAACCACAAAGTGTATATGATTTGATTCTATATCTCTTTGTATTTTTCATGATAATTGAGTAAACGAAATATATATATGTAAATTGTATGCAAACCATTGGTTTTCTTTATTAAATCTATGATGATTTGTATGATACTTGTAATGTAATGTCTGTGTTATACTGTCCATGTTATATTTCCATTCAAATGTAGTTGTGATAAAACACACTATCTTAAGCTATTATTACTATTACTATTATTAGTGTAATCAGCTGTAATTATAATATGGCTCTATTGAATGTTGGAGTAGTCGACTAGGAGTTGTGTTATGTTCAGTGTTTGGTGCAAACAGTTACTTAGCTGATGAACATGTGAGGAGGTGTCACTCAAATTAGCCTATATGACTAAAGAAATAGAAAAACAAAAATTAATTCAATCACTCGTTTCTTAAGACATGTAAGAAACGACTGTAAGTATTAAGATTGGCTGTATGAGTGTCATTGAAAGCGATAATTTTGAAAGTTCGCTGACTTATAATGACAAGAACAACTACAGTATCATTCACTGAAAATTAGATATGTATCATTGCTACTGCATAAAATACATAATTGCTGTTCAACTACAAATAACAATTTTGAGACCGTCTAAACGAAATAGTGTATTCTGAATGATAGAAAGTGTTAATTGACATTCGCCTAGTTTGAATATGATTTTCATCATCAATGTCAGTAGGTTTGAGAATAAACACCATGTCAGACCTGATTTGTACATCGTCATTTCACTCCACTTTCTCAGTTTCATGGGAACGCCTCCTAGTGCATGAATTAGACCATTATTGTTCTGCTGGGAGGGAGAGGGAAGAATTAGAGATTGGAAATTCGTAGACATGAAATTTTGTAAATCTGATGACGTGATAGTGATTCATCAATTAACTTGAGGATTTAGTATATATTGTGTAAGACGTCGATGACCAAGTTCTTCTTTGGAGAGTTCCACTCTTGAATGAAAAATTTTCAACGTTGACTTTTTAAAGATGTTACTAATGCTGAGCTACACTGTTTGATTACGTGCTGCTGTCATCTAGACAACATAATCACTGCAACCATACAACCTATATCAGAGAACATCATACCACCCGAAGGATCTATTTTATCACTAACTCTTTCCATGCTAAAGCAGTCCTAATAAAACTTACATACTTTTATCAAATCTTTTGCAATATTAACCTGCTTGACAAAACCATCACTCATGCGGATTCACAGTAAGAATATAATTAAAGGCTTTCCCCGCTCACGTAAGTTATAATTATTTTCAGAATGATTGAGTGAAAGGAAGAGATGAAACTGACAAAAATGAACAAGAATGTTTTAGCACAGGAATCATATTTAGTGACGTATAGAATATGTTTGGAGCCCTTATAGAGTTCTGTACTTTATCAGGATAATAAGTTGAATTCATTTCATTGAACAGTTATATATCTATGCATTTGAAAATTGTCCACTTCATGGTTTTGATGCTAAGGAATGCTTTGTGGCATTTGATTCAATATTGAAATATGCAATGCTGATTGATTAAGACAATCTACAATCAAACGCAGACTTGATTTCTTTTCTGGCTGGTAATTATCAGAAGAGCGTGTGTGAAATTTTGGTGGGAGTTGATACTGTCTTTTATATCTCGGAACATGATTTCCAAAGATAGGTGCTGCCTTTTTGATCTAAATAATCCTCTTTAGGGGTGCTAGATCCCTCAGAAATCACTCGGTAAACTCCTTATATTTGCAATCTATTTATGAAGATTTGAATTTCATTTTCCTTCATTATTACCTTCAGTTTGTGTTTCAGACTTGGAGGGATCTTAAATGTCTCTGGTTCGTTTTCTCTTTTAGCATGCTATTATGTGAGGCTTTTCAAGGATATTTTGTGTGGCATAAACTACCCATAAGTTGAATGCTTGTTATTCTTTCTTCCAACCTGTTTGTGAAATTATATATTTTCCCTGATTACTCTGCTCTTCTTCCTCTAGTTACCTGGGCTGGGGCACAGAGGAATGGCTCATCTTCGTCCTGTTATTGAGTTGCTGGTTTACTTTCCGTCACGCCCTCAGTTCACTAAGACCACCTCTAACCCAATTATTTTCAGGTACCTGTAGAGGAACCCTTTCACGGTGTGGACAAACGAGAATCGATAACCGCTCTCATACCTTTAACAACATTGAAGATCACTGTATTCATAATCAATAGCCCACTTCAATTCCTATTATTCCTCCTACGTCGACCTTCACCTCTAAACTTCCTCTTACGGCTTCCTTCTCAAGTGTCATCATGGTCAACGCTGTTCCAGATATACTGAAAAGTCGCTCCAGACTACATATTGGAGCCTTTAACGTATGCACCCCATGTCAAACCGGCCAACTGGCTAAAACCTTGGAATCTAGTACGATTGATGCATGCTGTGTCTCTGAAACGCGCATATAGGATCCTATTGTGATCATTCACTTGACCTCACCACTCCAAAAGCGGGGAGATCATGAGATAC